ATATAATTGTTTTTAATTTTATTTGTACATGCATCTGGGTCTCTTAAATGAATATTTTAAATATTTTTTATAATTTTTCTCACGTCTTTTTATTTCCATGTGTTTTTACATTTCTCTGTCTCCTGTTTTTACTTCACCTTATGCATTTCTGCCTCAGTATGTAAATAAGGTGGGCGGAGCTTCTTGGGCCAGCTCCTCTCCTATTGGTCAACAGATAGAAAGGAGCAGGATCCATGTGCAGATCTACTGWGCTGCTGCCTCAGTTTAGATTTAAGTTTAAAGTTTAGTTTAAAATAAATGCACACACCTTGTCTTTATTTACTTAAGTTCTTCTCTTTAATTTAAATATATTTATTTATTAGTCTATCCTTTTATTTCTAATTATGTCAGATTCATAGAAATATACACTGCCTGACCAAAAAAAGGTCACACTCTAATATTTAGTTGAACCTTTAGCTTTGGTTACGGCCCACATTCTCTGTGGTGTTGTTTGGATAAACTTCAGTGTCACCAGATTTATTTCATCCAGTGTTGCATTAATGTTTCACCAACATCTTTCATTGATGATGGTAGAGTCTGACCTCCTGCAAAGATTCACAATGGACTCTGTGGAGCCAATCCATGTGTGAAAATGATGTCTCATGCTCCCTGAACTACTCTTTCACAATAAGAGCCCCATGAATCCTGGCATTGTCATCTTAGAATATGTCYGTGCTATCAGAGAAGAARCAATCATTGATGGAATAACCTGGTCATTCAGTATAATCAGGTCAGCTGACCTCATTCTGTGAGCTGAGCCTGAACCAGGACCTGACCACCTGCAGCAGCACCACATCATAGACCTTAGTTAGATCCAGGTGGACACYTGGTTTTGGCTGGGCAGTGTATTTTAATTGTTTATTTGTCTTCATGCAGTAACTTTGTCCAACAGAACCAGAAATAAAATCATTAAGTTGTGTTTTAAATGTTTGTTTTTCAGCGGGGACTCCAGAGGACAAAATGAGACTCTTCCTTATTTATTACATCACAGCTCAGCAGGCTCCTTCAGAGGTAAACACTCAGCCAGAAAGGTTTTAATTATAACAAACTGATATTCCTCAGTTCAAGAGCCGCCAGTAACATTCATCCAACATTCATCCAACATTCATCAGGAGTCTCTTAAATGTCTCCAGGATGTCTCGGTAAATGTCTCCAGGATGTCTCGTAAATGTCTCCAGGATGTCTCTTAAATGTCTCCAGGATGTCTCGGTAAATGTCTCCAGGATGTCTCGTAAATGTCTCCAGGATGTCTCGTAAATGTCTCCAGGATGTCTCGTAAATGTCTCCAGGATGTCTCGGTAAATGTCTCCAGGATGTCCCTTAAATGTCTCCAGGATGTCTCCTAAATGTCTCCAGGATGTCTCGTAAATGTCTCCAGGATGTCTCGGTAAATGTCTCCAGGATGTCTCCTAAATGTCTCCAGGATGTCTCCTAAATGTCTCCAGGATGTCCCTTAAATGTCTCCAGGATGTCTCCTAAATGTCTCCAAGATGTCTCCAGGATGTCTCCTAAATGTCTCCAGGATGTCCCTTAAATGTCTCCAGGATGTCCCTTAAATGTCTCCAGGATGTCTCGTAAATGTCTCCAGGATGTCTCCTAAATGTCTCCAGGATGTCTCCTAAATGTCTCCAGGATGTCTCTTAAATCTTGGGTTATTCTTCAACATGATGTGAGACAGCGGGTTGGTGATTGCGTCATTTCAAACGTCTTTTTTTCCTTTCTTCTTTCATAATTCCTCTCGGCCCTCCTACAGATCATATAAGTTTATAAACAACAATAATTAAGGCTGGATATTGTGTTTTTTGTCTCAACAATCAGTGTTGTGTAAACCTTTTTTTGTTTTTGTTTTGTTAACGGTGATGATGGAACAAAGACATGAACATCAGCTACATGCTGATGTTCAGCAGGATCAAACCTTCTGTTAACAACCRGCTTCAGACGATAAATCTGTTTAAAGGAAAGAACCTGCAGAAGGAAGATCTGCTCTTATTCCTGCTCTGCTACATTTCCTCAGCACTGCTGCAGAAAGATGTGAATAAACTGTTTCCTCCAGCAGCAAGTCTCTCTCTCCTCCTCCTCCTCCTCTCAGCTCCTCCTGCTCGTCTCTTTTTGTCCGTCACCTCTCTGCAGAGTCTCCAGGGCGCTGCTCAGTTTTCTGACAGATGTGCTTTGATTTTTATAAAAACAAAACTCTCTCTGGAGTTATATAAGTCTCTCCAGCTGAGCTGCAGCCAGCAGCTGAAGCTTCAGGCTGAACATCTCCAGCAGCTGAATCACTGTTCAAACCAGAGAGCTTCGGCTCTTTGTTTTTATTGGTCAGAAACAGCAGCTGAAGCTTGTGTGAAGACAAACTGTTTCCTGTAACTGCATGCATATTCAGGGGAGTTAGAGAAGATGAGCCTGTGATCGGAAGATGCCAGTTCAACTCCCCGGACCGACCAGCCCCACCTTGGGCCCCYGAGCAAGGCCTTTAATSTTTCAGCTGCTCCCTGGGTGCCTCAAATTTGGCAGCCCACTGCTCCACATTTATTTATCGATCTATCTATTGCCCGCCCGCCACCTTTCATCCTGGGACTCCTGATGTTTCCAGGAGGTCTGGTGACATTTTTTGGGTTCTTCCTCTCCTGAGCCACACAGACCTGTCTGTCCTTTGAGCTTTTATTTTGAAACAGTCGCTGTGAGCTTCACACCAGAACTGAAGCTTTAAAGGTTTTAAAGTTGGATTTTAACAGTGAAGAGTGATGATTTGCTCCGTGTGTTTCAGACTGACCTGGAGCAGTATAAGAAGGCTCTGATGGAGGCAAACTGTGACCTTTCACCTCTCAACTACATCAAACAGTGGAAGTAAGTCTGAGCTGTGAGGTGACAGATGTGCACATCTGCATCAGCTGAACACAAAGTCTGATTACCTTCAAACTAAAGGTTTTCTTTTTACTTTATAAAAATGTCTTTATGTTTCAGGGTTCCCACAGTTTAAGGAAAGCTAAATTTAAGACTTTTTAATGCCAAGTGAAATTAAATTTAAGACCAGTTTCATAATAAACACAAAGGACACAAAAAAACCTGCCAGAAACTCACGAATCAAAGTGTTTTTGGTTGAAGTATTCAAATATTGCTAATAGACCAATTGTTTTTATCCACATCGAACTGCTTTTTCATCAAATATAGCAAAAACGTTCAGCAGTCAGTTTTAAACTTAATTTAATTTTTCAGAAATCCTCTAACGACCCAAAATTTGGAGTTTTAGGACCCACAGTGGGGTCTCAACCCTATTTTGCTGTAGATGAAACCTTAAAGTGCCTGTGACATCAAAATTTGAAAGAAAAGTTAAAGCATTTTTGAAAAGACAACATTATTAACATACTACAAAACAAATGTCACATTGCTCAGATGGACGGTTGTTGAGATATTTGCATGTGAATCAACAGGAAGTGATGTCAAAGGGGAAGCCTGTGAAAATAAAAAATAAATCAATTTTACCAATTTTAATATTTGAGATGAATTACAGTCATCTACTTACAATGTGTTCACATTTTTAAGACTTCTGAAAGATTGATTTAAGACCTTTTAATGCTAATTAAGGCCTTATTTTTGAATTGATGAATTCAWTGATGTTTAAGACTTTTTAAGGATCTGCAGGAACMCTGTATTTATTAAAACTGTCACCACCTCCTGACAGTAAATGAGAAAAATAATCTGTGAAAAATTAAAGCTCCTCTGTCCTCTTTTAATGTCTTTAAAATGTCCAGACCAAAAATATTTGAAATATTTGCGATTTAAATCCCAGAAGTGGAACATTATTGACTTCCTGTGAGGTTTATGTTAYCAAACATTAAGCGGCCTCTCTGATCTGTCTGCTCTGATAGAATTCAGTCATTTTTGCAGTAAAGATGATTTTTGTACTTTTTTCTTTCAGAGCTTTTACCAAAATGGCCACCAACCCGACCAACTACGGCAGCAGTGGAGTCAAACCCATGGGGTGAGTTTATTTTGATTTATTAGCATAAATATAAATTTTAAAGCTCAGCATCAGTGTGTTTTGTAGATATTTGACTTTAGCATGTAATGTGATSGTTAGGGATGACTCTCAGCTGCTCCACGTTTCAGCTCATTATCTGTGAAACTGAGTTGTGGCAGCCATCTTGGATCAGAGTGACTCTAGTCTGTCAGCGTTGTTAGCATATCTAAACTAAACAGTTGGGTTTGTTTGTCACTAATAGTTTCATTAAAACTCATCCACTGTTTGATGAGATATTTTGCTAACAGACCTGCTTCTCATGGCAGCAGTGATAAAGACTTTTTCTCTGTAATTTACTTGAATATAACGTTTAACTTTCTGACGTTTATTCAGTTTTTCTTTGCCAAACCAGCAGCCTGCTCCTGACTGATCTCCATCCTAACCCTGTACTCCTTCCTCCTCATCTGTTTCTCCTCCCTCGTCTCCTCCTCCTCCTCCTCCTCCTCAGGCTGTTCTCCAGAGTCATGAACACAGGCTCTCAGTTTGTCATGGAGGGTGTGAAGAACCTGGTGCTCAAACAACACGTGAGTCCAAATATTTCCAGCTTCTTCACAGAAAAAACACAAACCGACTTCAGACGTGTCTTCCATCTTTAAACAGAGAAATGTAAAAACAGACAGACGTTCTCAGCTGTGACCACGGGTCACTACAGGCTGGAAAATAYACGTTTCGTTCAGTCAAAGGAAAAATCCATGTTGAGTTCTAAAGATCCACAACAGAACCTGCATCTCAGAGGATTTGAAACCTGTCAGCAGCACAAAAACATTTCAGACATGAAACAAAAACAACAAAAAGAAAATAGTTTAGTTTGGAAACTGATGAKATTTTTGTGTTTCAGAACCTTCCGGTCACTCGGATTCTGGACAACCTGATGGAGATGAAGTCTCATCCTGTGAGTTGTTTACATATTTGTTACATATTAAATGTTTCGCTCACATTGYTTAGGACTTCTCCACTTTTGTTGGAGCATTTTAAAATGTTTCATCTGTTCTGTTGAGTCCATCATCAGGAAGTGAAACCTGGGAATCTACCAAGAGCAAAAAAAAAACCCCAATATATGAAATCATTACTGTGGTGCAGTGGGAGGGCAGCAGGTTCTATTCCCTGAACGTTAGGGACTCATAATGACATCATGTAGAACTTTGACTCAAACCTTTAAATAATCTGAAGAAACTTTAGTACAGATTTATATAAATACAGGTTTACAGTCTAAATAATACAAACTTATCTGAAAAGTACATCTGACTCAAACGTTCTGTTAAATGTTCATAAACCGTTAGTTTTGATTGATCTGACGTGTTCAGTGATCYGCTTCGTTCACGATGTGTTTCTGTTCCTAAAACTGGATCAGAGGTTTTAAACATGAAGCCGGTCCCTCAGAGCTACATCCAGTCTCACACTGACAGGTTCTCAGCATCTGCTGTTACAYACAGCAAACAAAGATCCTGTTGTCCATCTGAAGGAGGAGGAGGAGGGATGAAGATGAAAGAAATAGAAGAGCACATTCTCTCCTTATCAGATTGTCCTCCCTGTGTGAGCACGGAGCTTCTCTCATTTTAGGATTGTTTTCAGGGTAAAGATTTCACAGAATGTCTGAGGAATGTTGGTGTGGAAACTGAACATAAAATCAGGTTTTACTAAAACCCTCCTGCTGCCCTGAGGTTAAACCTTCTTTCGTTTTTTTTTTTTAAATTTATTTAATAGGGACAGACACACATCGACATAGACAAACTGAATAAAACAGCAGTCCCATGTTTGCATCATGGTGCAATAGCAACAGCTAATTCGCAGCACTTGTCCCTAGATGGGCTTTTAAAAAATAACTCTAAAAATTGAAATGATAATCAGTTAAAATAGCACAACATACTATATACAAACAGTGAAATGTAAGACATCAAAAGTGAGTACNATAACTCTAAAAATTGAAATGATAATCAGTTAAAATAGCACAACATACTATATACAAACAGTGAAATGTAAGACATCAAAAGTGAGTACAGGTCTGTTTTTRACGTAACCAGAGTTTTGTTTGGTTTTTGAACATTCTAAAACTGCTGCATTCTGCTGCCCTCTGGTCAGATAGGTAGACCTCCTGCTKCCCTGAGGTCAAACCTCCTGCTGCCCTGAGGTCAAACAGGGGGACCTCCAGCATGGCTCACACATGCAGCGAAACTCCAACAGGTTTATTTTGACTGTGTTTCAGGAAACGGACGATTATCGATACTTTGACCCAAAGATGCTGCAGCGAGGCGGGGAGAGGTCAGAACCCATCAGATCTGATTAATCAGCAGAGGTTCTAGCAGAACTGAACCCAGTCCAGTTCCATATGAAATGACTGAAGACTGGAACGTCTCATCCTCTCCTCTGTTTCCTCTTTCAGCTCCATTCCCAGGAACAAAAACCCGTTTCAGGAGGTGAGTTGTTTCCAGGACAAACAGGCTGAAAGAAAACACGAGACGACTGGAAACTGTGCCCAGAGCCAGAAACTGGATCCTGCTGGCTCTGGATTCTGGTGGGACTCTTAAGTCCTTTCAGGATCTGAGTGTGGGGATTGTTTTGGTCTCAGAACGTCTTCAGTCAGGATGGTGACGCAGGCAGGACGTCTCACTTTAACACTTTTTATTTAACAGGTTTAGTTTCAGTCTTAAAATAAGGAGAGGAGGTTCAAACCCTAAATAAACCCTGTCCACCTGAGCTGAGTCACTTCCTGCTCCTGGTTCAGATGGACTGGGTCCAAACTCAGGGTCTGGGTCCTCCGAAGGACCAATCTGTCGACTGCTTAGGTCAGCGCCGAGCTGGAGGCTGTCCAAAACAAAGACTCCTTCGATGCGTCCCACAAATACGTCCTCCCTTTGTCTCAGATTTGAGGGCCGGTCCGATGGATCCTTCTGGGCTCAGCGTATCCCATAATGCACTGCGGGCCGACCGGAGAGGTTTTCCTGCTCTTAAAATATGTTGTAGTTTTAAGTGGTTGTGTTGTTAAAGCTTTTATCATTATAAACATGTTTTAATATTAATCTTCAGAAATCAAAGCTGGTTTAGAGAACGTCACCTACAGCAGCTCCGTTACTTCTTCAGATATTACCTTTAAGATCATTATTTTGGTTTTGACATTAATACAACTAATATATTAATAATTTGATCATTTCCATCTGTTTTTGTTCAACGTCGTCACGGTTGTTAGGTGACAGGATGYACGCCGGGTTAGAGGCGGGAATAAAACAGAAGACTAGACGTCCAGATTAGACACTTTTTTCCAGTCCTACCCGGCCCACCTAGACCGTGTAGACCGAGTTCTTGGAAGAACCAGCTCCTGAATTTGAACACAGTCATGGTTTATGTTTAATCAGTCATGACTTTAAATCAGACCTGTTACTTCCTGTTGATCAGCATCTTTTATTATTAATTAACAAACAAATATAGAGCAGATCCAGGGTTCCTACAGCTTTAGGCAAGTAAAATTTGAGACTTTTTAAGACCTAATTAAAGCCACTTGAAATGAAATTTAAGACCAACTTCACAATAAACACAAAGGGAAAAAACCCAGTTAACACTTTTAGCCAAATGTTTATTTTAAACCAAAACAACGAGCTGAGAGCCAATCACTWTTCAAAACAATTAAAAAATGTTACTAATTATTTTAATATTTGAGATGAATTACAATCATCCTAACATGTTTTAACATTTTTAAGACCTCTGAAAGATTGGTTTAAGACATTTTAAGGCTAATTAAGACCTTATTTTTGGATCGATAAATTCAGTGCCTTTTAAGACTTTAAGGTTTCGCAGGAACTCTGAGATCTGATTGTTTTCTAGCTGGAAAATAATCATATTTTTAAATAAAGTGTTGTTGCTGCTAAACTTCCAGTTAATCATGTTTAAACAGATAAATAGAGGCGTGTTTTAATGCTCTGTTCTCTGCTGTTTCAGGCCATAGTTTTTGTGGTCGGAGGAGGGAACTACATCGAGTACCAGAACCTGGTAGACTACGCAAAGGTACCACCAGAACATCGCTCCGTTTCGGGTTTTAAATAATATAGTTAATAATAAGTTTTAAATTGAGATAATTAAAAGGCAGAACGCTCCCTCTGGGTCCAGCAGAGGACTTCAGGGATCTGGAGCAGGGACGCAGTGATGAGTGTTGCTCCGGTTTGTGTTAGTGAAGGAGTTGAAGCTCAGCTGATTTTAATAAGAAGACGTCTAAGTTTAAACAGACTTTCTGTAGAGAAACTAATTTTTAACGTCTCTTTGTTCAGTCCAAACCAGGAAGGAAGATCATTTACGGCTGCAGTGAACTTTTTAACGCTCCTCAGTTCATGAAACAGGTGAGAATCTCCTCGTTCACCTGGTCTGGAAAACAAAACGTGTCCTGATGGCTTTATTGGTTTTTGTCTCCGCAGCTCGCTCAGCTTGGACAAAAGTGACCAACATCCTGAATATTCCTCTTCTGAAGCTTTTCTTTGTTTTTTATCATTTCTGTAAATCRTCTAAACTTTTCTGTTTCACTCGGTCCTAATAAACCTGAACAAGTCGTCGCCTCAGAGTCCTTTATTTATTACTGACAGGTTTAATTCAGTGATATTTTACTAACAGGTTTAATTCTGTGATATTTTACTAACAGGTTTAATTCAGTGATATTTTACTAACTGGTTTAATTCAGTGATATTTTACTAACAGGTTTAATTCTGTGATATTTTACTAACAGGTTTAATTCGGTGATATTTTACTAACAGGTTTAATTCGGTGATATTTTACTAACAGGTTTAATTCGGTGATATTTTACTAACAGGTTTAATTC